CCCACGCTTCTTACCCAGAGCCCGCTGCCGCTCCCCCACTCAGCCTCTGCCACTCTCACCTGGAATTTGTATTCCAGCTCACCCGAGTCCTCCCGCAGAACATACGGGCATCTGTGCAAAATCTCGGTCACTTGCTGCGCTGTGAAAAGGCACTTCTCCCTGAGCACCCTGACGATGCGGTCAATGTCCCGCTGATGCATGGTGAAAATGTCAGGGCAACAGTAAAGCACCCTCTTCAGTTTCCCTGTAGAACATAAAAAGGGCAAGTACATAACTTCAGGACATTCCAGAAAAAGGGGCTAGCAGCACCTGGCTCAAGCCAGCATTTTCAAAATGGACAAGGACACCCCCCCCACGCCAGCCTCCAAGGTCTTCCCAGCAGCACCATGGAAGTAGGGGACCAGAACAGCCCATCGCCCCACTGCCACCCTCAGACTCGACAACAACACACACACCCCTGATCCCCGATGTCCCTGCCTCCCAAATGAAAGGTGCCTACTCCATAGTCAGGCCTCCTCCTGCCTCCTCACCTAGAAAAAAATTCTCCAGGGAAGGACTGGAAAAGCCAGAGAGTAAGAGGGAATAATAGCGTCCCCCATTTGGGGGCTTTGGGCTGAGGTTCCTTCCATAATAAAACAGTCGTGGAAGCCTGAACTCATGAAAAGGAGTTCCATGACAATAATTAATGGGGTAACAACAAGGCACAACTACAAACTCCAATGTCCAAGTTAGTGGGAAGACCACATATTTTATCCAAATAGGCGCTTTGAGTGAAAGAGGCCCTATTAACTGCGTTAGGATAAGTGCATAAACCAAAACTACCCTAGAATTGGGGCATATGGTTTTCTAAGGACAGTTGGGGGAAAATTAGCACCTGGAAACTTAAAATCACTTATTTAAGCTGTTAATTAAACTCTTCCTAACAGCTTAGTCAGTCACTGTCTTGCTAAAATGTGTCAGGAATGAATTTCAGAAGTTTAGACTTTGTCTTTGCAGCTTCGGGCCGTGCTGAGCTTACCCATTTTTAACAACAGCGGGTAAGACACTGAGTTTAGCCTATCATATTACACGCAGTAGTCATCTGTTAAGAGAAACACAGGCTGTCTTTTGCGCACTTTCTGGACAAGGAGGCCTATTGAGATCCTCTGAAACAGTGGATCTGCCAACCTTTTCTCCTACAACATTTTACCAGTAAGAGTCAAGAATGGGAAAAAAAAATAGTGGAACTCCTGTGGTCAAAGTGGAGACACTCATAGACCCCCAGCCTCCTTCTCCAGAGGCCCATAAAGAGAGCCAATGGACTTCTAGGATCCTAGAGGCATGAAACCTGATGGGGTGGGAGTAAGGGGGTGTCTGAAGGGAACGGCCACTCCACCAGGTTCCCAGGAATCTGGGAAGATCTCATGTTCCACAGCAAGTCAAGACGCCCAGCTGGAACCCAGTCTCTACAAGAGACTCCGTAAATCTCTAGCTTCACATCACATGGACACAAAGCACTAAGACCACATCAAGTTATTTAAACGTCAAAGGTACATATACCCACTTACACAACATCACATATCAACACCTATCTGCCGAGCACGCACCACGTGCCCACCACCCTTCCAGATGCTGAGTCCCCACGGTGAACAATCCAGACAATCCCTGTCACTCAACTCCCCTTCCCTCCTGCAATATCTGCTGCAGCAGTCACTCCTCTGCCTCACCTTCAAACCAAATCACACAGAAATCTCAGAACTTTCCCCCAGAAACCTCCCAAACCCATCTCACTGAGGCTATTTGTTCCCCAGCTCAGACTTGGCACTATATACACAGTCCACACGTTGTACCTTCTCCAAGTCCAAGCTTTCGCAGGTAACCAGAGCGCTTCTTCATGTGCGTTACAGGCAGTTTCAATAACTGAGGACTTTTCTGCAACACCATGCACACGGGCTCGGGGTTCACACCCAAGAGTATTAACTCTGAGATGACGCCCAGCAACTGTTGAGGGTGGGGACGTGGGTGTATACGGAGCAATTCCTGAACATGGGTGTCAGTGAAACCCATGTCCAGGAGGGAACTGATGACCTCTTCCTGCTCCAAGAACCGTCCATCTGCAGGAGCCCTTTGCTTCTCAAGGAGGCTCTGACTGAGGCTTGTCCTGCACTCTGGTTCCTGCAGGTACTTTCTGGGTTCAGCAGGGGGTAACCCTTCAAGGCCCCCTCCACTGGAGGCTGTGGTCAATTCACGCAGCAAGGAAGCTGTTGCCCTTTTCTGTTCTCCAAGGCAAGGCGTCCGCCTAGCGATGCTGGCCCAGGCGAGGGGGATCAGGCGGTGACAATCCAAGACCTGTAAGATGTAGCACAAAAGTGAGTCACTTCCTCAGCACCCCATGTAGTGGGAACCACAGGATTAGAGAGCAGGGTCCCACACAAGCATAGCAGTTTTTATAAGACATCTGCAAAATCCTATCTGAACTTAAAAAAGCCTATAGAAGGAGGTTCACACACAAAACACAGCGCTGCGAGAGCACAGAAATCAGAGCCAAGCAAGTCTCTCTTAGCTTTCGCGGCCACAACTAAGGGGACGGGCATGGGGGACAGAGAACTATTTCAAGGCCACCTGGTAAAGTTCTGGGGAAGGGCTTTTCTTCTATCTGTTAAGGTCCAGTGCCTGGGGTCCTGCAAATTTAACTCACAATAAACAAGTTAACAAGAAGAAAACAAACAGTTTCTTAATGTTTACAGAACCTAACCAAAGAGGCAGATCCCTAGGTGGCCAAAGTTGGAACAGATAGTAACAGAGAGAGAGGGACGAGGGGAAAGGCTTCTACCGGAGAAACAAATGGGTTTTCAGGGGAACAGGGAGATAAGTCTGCCACCGTGTTTGTTTCCACAGATGCCAGTGGTCGTCTTTGTCTGTCCTCATGGCCGCGAACTCCCAGGAGAGGCTCGCGGCCGCCTCCCTCCCAGGAGTTTCTGCTTTAGGGGTAAGGGGAGCGCCAACAGAGCTCCCTGCTGTGGCTGCTGAACCTCCGGGGTCCTCAGTTTAAGATAATTTCCATGCCGACTCGGGGCGAGCAGGGTCCCGCTCCGGACACCTGGACCCCGCGAGTCTCCGGGGTCGGCGGGTGTCCCGTGGCTCGCGCACCC